TGCCAGTGACAAGGGTAGCAGTGCAGTCCTCTCTTTTGGCAAGACTTGGGAATCCGCACGTCCAGTCACCTTCGACTCGAAAGTGTTTAAAGGTGCGGAACTGAATTATCCTGTACATGAAAAGAAATGCTCGCCATTATCAGGGCGCTTGCTAAATGGAGGGTTGACCTCCTTGGCATTCCTTTCATCGTCTACACTGACCACAAAACACTGGAGAATTTCGATGTGCAGAGAGACTTGTCTCGCAGGCAGGCACGATGGATGGAGTTCATGTCCCAGTTTGATGCAAAAATTGTCTACCTTAAGGGTGAGGATAATACAGTTGCAGATGCCCTTTCACGTCTTCCTACAGATCGTCGTTCCTTGCGCGCTGGTGCTGAACTGTGTGCGAAGCAAGCTTATGAATTTTGTGACTCGGGTGATGATGACGATGTGATTTGCACCATTTGTTCTGTTGGTGATTCTCCCTTTTTTGATATTGCTCTGTCATTGTCCAAACAACCATTGGACTACATCGCTCATGATGGAGATGAGGTGTGTGCCATTTTTTCTGTGAATGCTGACAAGGTCCTCCTTGACCAATCAAATCCGGCTATTCCGAGGACAAGTGGGTTCAAGACGCCCTGACTAAAGCACAGGCTGGAATGCCAGGTATAAAGCAGATAAATGGGCTTTGGTATCTTAATGATTGGTTGGTTATTCCACGAGTTGGCAATGTGTGCGAGACTCTTTTCAGGCTGGCGCATGACGTCTTGGGACATTTCGTTTCGACAAAACCTATGGCTCCCTCCAGACCTCTTACTACTGGCCTAATATGTGTCGGGACCTGGAAGCTTCATACGTCCCTGGTTGCCCTGACTGTCAATGGAACAAGTCCACCACTTCCAAACCAATTGGGCCTTTACATCCCCTGCCCATTCGGACCAACGTTGCAACTCCTGTCGCTATCGATTTCATTGGGCCCCTGCCCCTTGATGAAGGTTATGATGAGATTGTGACTTTTACTGATCATTTAGGCTCGGACGTACGTGTTTTGCCCTGCAAGTCCGATATGACTGCGGATGATCTCACTCTCATTTTCTTCGACAACTGGTACTGCGAGAATGGTTTGCCTTTGGAGATCATTTCAGACCGTGATAAGCTTTTCGTTTCATGTTTTTGGAGAGCTTTGCATGCACTGACAGGTACTAGGATTAAAATGTCCACTAGTTTCCACCCCGAGATGGATGGTTCAAGCGAATGCACAAATAAGACAGTAAACCAAATGCTACACTATCACGTCAAAAGGAATCAAAAAGGTTGGGTGAAAGCCTTGCCTTTGGTAGCTTCAATATTATGAACACCATTAACAAATCTACCGGTTTTTCTCCCTTCCAACTTGCATGGGCCGGAGTGCCCGTGTTATTCCTCCTCTAGTATCTAGTGAACTTGTTGATGACACACCGGAGGCCGATTGCCATGGAAAATTATTAAATGTTTGGAAGCCATCACATTGGAGGCCCAAGATAATCTCCTTCGCGCTAAGATTTCACAATCCGCTCAGGCTAATAAGTCTTGTTCATTGACTTTCCCTTTCCCGTAGGCCAGCATGTTTGCCTTTCAACAGTGAACCGACGAAATGAATACAAGGCTTCAGGAGAAAAATGTGTTGCAAAATTCATGCCTCATTACGATGGACCTTACACCATTACGGCATCGACTAAGAACACTCCACAGTCACATTGGACCTCCCTAATTCCCCCAACATCTTCCCCACCTTCCACACTTCCATTGTCACCCCTTACATTGAAAACGACTCTACCCTTTTCCCTGGTCGTGAATTTGAAAAGAAGCCTCCCATCATTACCAACAAGGGTGATACTGAATACTTCATTCGCACATCATCGATGAACGTCATTGTGGACGTGGTCACCGCTATCTTGTTCATTGGATTGGATATGGGCCTGAAGAAGATCGGTGGCTCCCTGGTTCCGAGCTCAAGGACACCGAAGCATTGGACATCTGGTTGGCCAAAAAGAAGACTTCGTAGGATTTTTTTATGTGTATTTTCTTTCTTTTATGGCCAGCTGGTAGCTTTTCCCACTGGGTTTTTGATGCACCCGCGCTGAGCATTGTATGTATTTTCCTTTTCTCCCTCTTTTTCCTTCTATCTGTTGCTTCTTTTTTGGGGTTTTCTCGTGCTTGTGGGGAGGAGAGGGTGTAATCCTGGTCACAGGATTACGTGTTGTGGACCCTTATTTACTAACACATGCATACTCACTATATAAAGATCCTCAGGGGCTTTCCCCTCCTTCCTTTGGATCCCTCATTACCTATTCCTCATTTGTTATCTCTCTTACAATCATATCCTGGTCGTGTTCTTTTCCATGTGATTTAGTATTGTCCAACGTGGTATGTTGGGCTTCCATTATTGATGCCATCTTCTTTCATCTTCACCTCCATCTTCTCTGCCTCTCGCCCTTGGCCATCTCAGTCTGTGTTCCTCGCTGTCACCCTCGTATCCTCTCATCCTCACAGCCCTGGAAACAGGAAGGTTATAGGCTGCCTACTTGCAACTCATGTGGTGCGTTCTTCCTCCATTTGTTTTTGAGTAGCCATGCTCATATCCTTATAGTTAAACATTAACCAACATGCCAGTGGTGCATATCTAAGGTCGGTATAGCATTCTTTTCGACATCTACACCATCTCACTCCCATTTTTTTTCAGTCTGCACTTCCTTCTCATTACAGGCTGACTACGTGCAACTCACACTGTGCGTTCTTCCCTCATGCATTTTTCTAATACCATTCTTATGGTTAATCAAGCTCTCGATGGAAGCCATGTGATGGCTTTTGGCCAGGCAATGGCAGCTTGCTCATGGTTACATTCCAAAAGCAAGCCCTGGCTGCTGCTACAACTACTCTCACCATCAATGGGTCAACTCTGAATCTGAAGAGGAGGAGGTAGTGTAACAACAGGTGTGTACATTCAACTGAATTTTCTCCATCCATTTTTGCACTGTTGACTCATGAATTTCAGTCCCAGGTCCTCATTTGTTCAAGTGTTTGTTTCCTTGTGGTACTATGCATTTCGGAAGACTGCCATCCTCACCGTATAAGATGAATTCACGAAACACAGTCTCAACACTATCAAATCATGGAATGGGCTGTGATCATGTTGATGGCGCCAGCTTTTGTGGGAAAGAAAAAGAAGCAGGCAATGGCAGAAGCAGTGGCTGATAGTTCATCAGCCAGTGGGTAGAATGACTGAGGAGGAAAAGAAGGCATATGAGGAGGAACTGTATGCCTGAATAGCCCCCGCTTTGATGGAAATTTTTCACATTTGTCTAGATCTCATCAAAGTACAAAATGTCTTTCAAAAGTAAATACTGGTCTATTAAAATCAGTGTTGTCTTTTGTGAGAAAACTGACTGGACTTTTAAAAGATGAGGCGTCTTTTAGTCTTTTTGGTCTTTTCTGGTCTTTTGGTCTTTTAAAAGACACGCAAAGACCGCGCACTTTTACTGATGTGTACTGACCTCTGCTGCACAACTCAAGTGAACATGAGGTAGCAACAACAAGGAATCCAGTCCACAGATCCCCAAAAATAGATAGGTGAGGAGAGGTAAGCTACAAAGAGCTGAGGATGTTGATGAGGGTGGTGGAGGTGGGAGAAGATGAGAAGTGAGGAGCTGTGAAGGATAAGACACAATTTAGGGTGAACTTGAAGGCAGAGCCTAAGGAGAGCCAGTTGCTGCTTGGCACAGATAGCAGGGTTCTCTCAAATGTAAATTTTCCAAGCCTGGGAGGACCAATGTCCAATGGCCTGAATGATGTCTTCAGCAAGTCCCAAACTGGCATAAAAGGTGGCCCCACCTGCCTGAGTGAGTGTCCACCAAATTCACAGCTCAAAATAGCAAAGAACTGGGCATCAAACCAGGAGCACAATGGGTGAGAACCATCCCTACAAAGGAAGCCTGGGGGTGCTCATCTATATTTTTACAAAGGTCTTTCAGATTTATTGCATCAAGAAAAAATATATATGGTACACTCTCACTCATTGGGCATAGGCTTCTATGAAGACCTTGAGCAACTGCTTCCCGAGTGCCCTTGCCAAATTCTGAGGCAATATCACTCCAGAATGGAATTCATCCAGATGCATGAGGATCAACTTGCATGTAGTTGTACTTAAATTGCCGTTCAACCATGAGATGAGCTGAGTGGGTGAAGGTCACTGGTGGCAAAGTTAATTTACTAGGAAATTTGTTAGAGGAAGCTATGAGGGTTTGGTTATTATAATCAATTGACTTGCCTTAGCACCTATGTAATCCCTCCAGAACTCCTGTGAATCATCAGTTTGGAGTTCATCCAATACTTTGATTGTGGTGAATAAACTGTCATCACTTGATGACTTGGAGATTTCAAGTTTTTCAGTTAAGACCACCAAGGCCTTATCAGCACCTGGGTTATTTATCCCTCTCATGATCCCTGAAATACCCCATAGCAGCAATTGATGCAAGCAGAATAACCAGCTGATGGTTCAATTGCACCTGATCATCCTTCAACTTCTAGATGACTGCACCTGGAGTGAGAAACAAGGATCTTTTGGGTTTCTTCACTTTATACACATGAACATGTTCATCTATCCTACGCAGGACAGCACTGATGCTGCAGATGCATTGGGAGAGCTGGTATTCTCCTGTACCAGAACAGTTGAATGTGGTGGATGTGAATAGGTGGAGGAGGTCATGCACTTGGATGACTGTGAATGAGATGTCTTTGAGAAGTGTTTTCTTTTTCAGAGAGTTGGTCCAACCAGGTTATGATTCTGTTGCAGAGAGAGCAGACAGTGATTGCTGCAGAGACAACATCCATGAGGGAGGTAACAAAAGACTCAAAGAATTTGCCATGGTCTGGATGTTCAAAAATGATAGATGATATTTGACAGGAAGAGGCTGTGTAGATAGATGGCTTGGCTGATGGAGAATGACTGGGGGAACCGGTGCTTAAGTAGAAAAAGGAACCAACAGCAAGACTCAAACTTGCAACCTTTGCCTTAGGAAAGCAACATGCTACCATTGCACTACAACGGCAGAACCCTCATAAATTTTACATGAATATCTAACTCAAAGGCCAAAAAAGGGTAGAAAATGTAGGTAATCCTCAAAGAACCAACGGTGGGACTCGAACCCACAGCCTCTGCCTTACGTAGTCCTAAGTGGGTTCAATTCCCATCCATTAGGAAAGCAACGCACTACCATTGTGCTACGTTGGCTCATGCGAGATGATGAACTAAATACGATATCTATAGCGCAGCAGTATGACACCACCTGACATTTGAGGAATGGCCTGATTCTGAAATGAATGTCGTTCGACAAATTGAAGGCTGCGAGTGTCTTGCTCAGACTCGCCTTCACCAGCAACCATGTCCTCTGAGCTGGGCCTTGACCCATCCGACCCTCTCAACCTGCTCCTGCGCAACTCCTCCGACGACCCCGACTCCCAGGACAACGCCCAGGCATGGTCCACTCTCAGCTCCCTCTGGTCCGATCCCGTTCCCCCAACGGATCCCTCAAAATCCTATGTGGACATGATGCCCATGGACTTTTCTGACTTGACCTCCTCCATGGCCATGGACATGGACTTCAACAACCCCATGGCTATCGAGCCGAGCATACTGCAGTTCGATCCCGTAAAGTTCGCTAATGCCTTTGCGGGGTACGATGATCAGTACGGTCTCTCCACCGACCTCATGGCCACCCAGTTTCCCTTCAGCTTTCAATTCAACAACGGCAGTGGACAGATCACCAGCTCCAGCTCTGGGTCATCCGCCTCGGACTCTCCGCAGTCTTTCACCAAGGAACGCAGACTCAGCGTGACCTCTTCCTCGTCCTCCTCTGGTGCTTCCCTTTCTCCCGTACCAGAGTCGCTTGCTAGCCCAGCGACAGGCGGATATGTCAGTGATACCCAGCCCAAGGAGGAGCCGATACCCCTTACAGAGGTCCCACATGCACATGATCCCGCCGCTGAACTAGCTGCGCGCGTTCGCCAAGCTGCCGGCGTCATGCTCGCCGTGCCCATGGGTGCCCAACTCCAAGGCTACGGTGCCCAGATACTGCGTACGTCGTTTACTATTTCATAATGCAGCCTATCTCAATTTCCTTTCAGCCAAACTGCCTATACCCAGATTATCCCGGCACGACTCTGTCGCATCCAAATCCACCCCTTCATCCTCATCCTCCGCCGCATCGACACCACCTCCATCGACACCCCCTCCCTCCACCCTCACCACCAATCCTCCTCCCCTCAGACTATCTCTAACCCCCGCTCTCCCATCCGATTCCTCTGCCCCATACACCCCCATCGCACCTACACCCACCACCACCACCCTCACCACCACTGCGTCCGCCCGACCCAAGACAAGCCACACGACCATCGAGCGGCGATACCGCACCAACCTCAACGCGCGCATCCAAAGCCTGCGCATGGCCGTGCCCGCACTGCGCGTGCTCGAGGACCGCGAGGGCGGAACGGCAAGAAGATCAAAAAGAATTTGAAGGCAACGTCGTCGTCAAAGGTACTGGGGCCGACTCCCCTGGGACGGCTACCCCCACCGAGGCAGAGGACGGCACGCCGATCGACGTCATTGACGAGCGCGGGTTCGTCGATGGTGTTAAAGTCGCGCGCAAGTGCTCCAAGGCAAATGTGCTAGGCAAAGCTGTGGAGTATATTCGCGTGTTGAAGAAACGCGAGTTGCGCTTGAAGCGAGAGCAGGAGGGGCTGAAGAAGCTCATTGGGGGGCTCGTGGGTGGCGCTGCCCTCGTCAAGGAATGGGAGCGGGAGTGGCGGGAGATGTTTGGTGGGGAGGAGAAGGATGAAGTTGAGGGTGAGGCTCTTGATGGCGGGGATGATAATGACGGTGAAGAAGACGACGATGAGGATGGTGATGAGGATGAGGAGGAAGATGAGAGGAAGAGGAAGAAAGTCAAGATGTCGTCTGGGGCTAGTAAGAAAGCCTCGGAGAGGAAAAAGGCTGCTGCTATTTCTCCGCCTGTCGTTGCGTCCTCCTCCAACCCTCTGATGCAATCGGCCGATGTCGCTGCTGCACCGGCAGAAAAGAGGAAACGGGGCAGGCCGAGAAAGATCGTCCCCCCTCCTCCGGTAAACACACTCCCCTCTCTGCCTGTCCACCAGGAGCCCGAGGCAATGGTCCAAGACGAACCAGCTATAGACGAACAAATTCGACAACAGTGGATGCACCCACAACCCCAGCAAATCCAAGGCGGTCAACAACCGCAACCTCAGCAGTACCTCCTAGCCGTCTTTGCCCTGTTCTCCTTCTTCAACTCACCCTTGACCCCTTCCTCCTCTTCCTCCTTCTTCGGCTCCTCCGCTCACGCGAATGCGCATACGCATACAGGCACTGTCCTCTCTGCCCAACCTCCCTTGGCTTACGCCCCAGAAATAATAGCCCAATTCACCCCACCCACAAACGCGACACAGTTGATGGTAAACGGGTGGTCATGGCAGGAATACGTCCAGCTCTTCCACCTATTCGTGTCTGTCCTCGTGCTCGTCGGGTTCGTCGCGAGTTGGATGGGGTTGGACCTCGGAAGGCTCTATTCCCATTCCCATTCGCAGGCACAACAACAGCACACGAAGCGGGGCAGGAGCATGTCCATGCCCGCCTTCCGCGCTAGCGCCGCTGAGAAAGATAAAGTAAAGACCACGCGAAGGTTAAGTGGCCCCAAGGGGTGGATCAAGTTGGGCGAGGAGAGTGTATTTGAAGGTTTGTGTTTTTATTACGGCGACTATGGTATTATCATGCACAGGTGCTTACCTTCCCCCTTTTTTTGTTAGGCCGTGCGTCTGCGTTGTCCTTGTACGACCGCGTGCAGATCTACCGCGCTTGCACATCCACCACCACCACGTCCGCTGCATCCTCATCTTCGTCGTCCATATCCACACTCACCACCCTCTCGCTCATCCTCCACACCACCCCAGGCCCAAGCGCCCTCCTCAGCGGTCTAGCCAAGATGAAAGCGCAAAGCGTATGGGAGCAAGCCAAGAGCGCCGCGTGTAACCCTTCTCATTCCCATTCCCTTTCTCCTTCCAAAGTTCCTTCCAAAGCGCTTTCTGTGGTTTATTCCTTGATGTTTGAAGAAGTCAAAAGCGTGGAAAGCGCGTTGGAGATGCTTTCTCGTGCTCGTCTTGAGAGGACATCAGAGGAAGAGGAGGAGGAGGAGAAGGAGGATAGCGCACCACTGAACGTCCTCGCCCGTCTGATCGTCAAAGACCGCGTGAAGCGCCACCTGGGAAAGTATTCATCCGCGCCGTCTCCATTTCCTCCCCTGCTGTCGAAGACCGTCTTGTTCAGGACGAGGAACAAGATTCACAAAGCCCGCAAGGCGCCAAGGAGACGCGAAATGCAGAGCAGATGAAAGAACAGGAACAGGAAGAAGATAAAGCATGGAGGCGCACGATCGACGCTGCGCGCGAGATGGGCGGACGCGTTGAGGATTAGGAGGATGTTTGAGAGGGTGTGGAAGGCCCCGAGCGGGGGTGTGGATGAGGATGAGATTGAGGAGCTTGTCGGTCATAATGGGCAAAGTGATGACAACGAAGCAGGAGCCCGAGCCCTCCATGGAGGAGGAGGTGTAGATGTGGATGCTGAGATCCGAGCGTTACTCGTCGCGCTCGTATTATACCGCCGCCTCTTCGCCTCCGCGTCTGCATCCCATGCTCATGCTCACCCTGCAACGCAGAGGAAGAAGAAGGTTGTATAACTCCCACTGCACAAGCAACGATCATATCCTCCAGCTCCCTGCTCAGCCCACCGCCCAGCCCGCGCACGACGCCCCGTCCTAAGAAGGCTAAATTCTTGTTGGAGGTAGAGGCTGCCCAAGGTGCCGACGCCGCAGAAGAGGATGAAGAAGACAAAGAAGACGATGACGACGAGGAAGAGGATGAGGAAACCAAGTCGGCTGCTGTTGAGAAGAAATGCATGTTGTTCGTGTTGAGGACTGTGCTCGGTAGTCGGGTGTTTGAGCAGACCGAGCAGGAGGGTAGTGGGGGTGTTGTGGGTGAGGGTGAGGGTAGGGTCGGGCTGGAAGATGCCAAAGACCGCGTTGTCGATTTGATCGTGGATGTTGAGAGGAGGGAAAAGGCCAAGAGGGGATCTTCATCTCCCTTACTTGCGTAAATCTTCCTGCTCCTGGCTTTCTTTGTGGAAAAAGTCTTACTGTGGACGTTCGAGTGTGACGCTTTATTACTTACTTGTAGAGAGATTTTTATTTCCGTAATTGCTTACTTTTTTTCCCTTTGTCCTTTTACATACGCCCGTACTTATTCATTTCTTCCACTTCTGCTTATTTTTTTTCAGTACTCGAGCTTCAAGCTTAGGCTTGTAACCTTTTTACCTTGCGGGGTGAACAAACGCTTTTGTGGATATCATGTTAGATATGTAGTATCTAGTTATTTTGTAAGCGTTGAATTTTTATTTCGTTCTGTGTTCTAAATTTGTGCGACTACGCAAAAGATGGAAAGTGCGCCACACGGCAAGTGTCTCTAAAAATAAATTGCTTCGTCACTGACCTTTCCTGCAAGTTTACAGGTGAGTACTCGTCCTGAATTTACCCTCTGTGTGCAATTGAATACAGCAGGACTGGGAGTTATGTCCACCTAGCTCTGGAAAGCACGATGTAAGTACTCCGAGCCATGGTCATGTGAAAACAATAAACATGGTCACGGGCCACGATGAGCCAGTGCCATTGCTCGCCGCCAAGGTGGTACATTCACACTACACCTGTCATGCCTCTTTGAACGACTGACTTTCGCAAACTGTGATAATACAGCCTCACTCTCTTGACAGGGTGTTCCATCAAGCTGGATAGACTTGGAGAATGAACTGAAAATTTCTGAATGGAGGACATCTTTTCAAAAGGCTTCAGATGAGCTGTTCGAAATGATGAACATCAAAGTGAGGGGGGTTTTTACACCTCAGCGGGGGGTTAGCTTTAGGCCTGGCAAAAGAAGTAGGTGCAATGACTGAGACCGAGAAAAAAATATGTTCGCCTTGCATGATGCCGGCTAACATGAAGTATATGATCATATAGGCCATATGACCAGTCTTTGGAAAAGAAGACTTTCAGCTGTCATTTTGGTGGATTGGAACGGTAGGAAAAAAGTGCATTATAGAGAATGCAACAGCACTTTCAATCATTGATCAGAAGAATACAAACAGCTGTCTCAGAACCACCACCTATAAATTTCTGT